CAGGACCTACCCCACAGCATCCCAACAGGTAACTGCCTGGCCTCTGCTCGAATACCTACTGCAGGAGAGTCCACCGTCTCCCAAGGAGCCTGTTCCACTGTTGACTAGCCTAAGGAATCTTCTCCTGATGTCCAGCCAAAATGTGCTTCGTTGCACTTTAAGCCACCGTCCTCGTCTTCTCTTCTGGAACCAGTCTGGACAATTCCGCCCTGTCTCCTACACGACGGCCCTTGAGGCGTCTGAAGACAGCCGAGCAGCCCTGGCTGACTTTTCCCTTCTTCAGGCTAGACACGCGCAGGACCACCTTACAACACCGCTTACAAGTCTGGTCCTCCAGACCCGATTGTCTTGGCTGCTCTCCTCCAGACGTCCATCAGTCCTGCAACATCCTTCCTAAAATATGCTGCCCCAAACCGAACACACTATTCTAGCTGTGGGCTGACCAATGCGGAGCCAAGAGGAACGAGGGCTTTCTTGAGCCGGACACTGCATGGTGGAGGCGGCCTAGGGCAGCCTTGGCACGTTGTGAGGCTGCTTCCTCTCTTTTGACCTCCTTTGCCTCTTCGAGCAGCACTCCAAGGGCTCCTTCTCCCCTCTGGCCGTGGCCTATATACTTTCTGCCACCAGCATTCATCCACTGCTCAAGAAGCAAAGCGGGGGGGGGCTCGCCTCCCCTGGAGCAGCAGCAGCAGCAGCAGCAGCAGCAGACGGGTCCTGCCTTTCCTCGCAGGAACCCGGAAAGGCAAAGCTAGCCGGGAGAGGATGCCCCCCCTCGCCCCCCTCCCAAGCATTTGGTGAGCTTTAGGGCCAAGTAAGGATCTGAACCTCAAGGGGCAAATGTTGTCCTGGGTTTCAAAGACTATTTGCGAAAACGCAGGCGGGTGATTAGCTTTCCAGGTTAAAGAGACGATAGAAAGATACAATTGTCCCACAATGCCTCGTTCGTACAAAATGCCTGGCTATGCCAGAATGTGGTGGGAGAGCCTGCAATTTCACATGTTCTGCGAGAACAAGTGAAGTCTGTTTGCTCAGCACATGCCAGCTGAAGTTCGAAGCCCCGGTGCACCCCAGCCTCGCATGGTAGTTCAGCTGCACTGGCTCCCAGCTGCTGAGGTGGGCACCAAGACTGCCAGGTGAGGCAGGCCAGGCTGAAATGAGGGTCCAGCAAGGCTGTGCTCAGCCACGGAGGCAGGAGACCCAGCTCCGGGGGCCTGGGGCAGAGGGGGAGGTCCACGGGATGGAGGAGCAAGCGGCAGCAAGGAACAGGTACGCCCAGGGAAGAGGAAAACGAATGCGCCAGGACAGGCTGGCAGGCAGAGGGAAGGCAGGCGATGGAGTGCAGGAGCTTTTTCCAAAAACGAGGCGTTTCAGAGGGGAAGAGCGTGGTGTTGCTTGTGAAGGAAGCGGGTAGAAAGCATGACCTATTTTGCGAGGAAGGATCCAGGCTCTCAAGGAGCCGCCCAGGAGGGAGGGGAGGGGAGG